TTTATAGTTTAGAAGATTTAACCTATAATAGTTTAGAAATTAATATTTTGTAAGCTCTACTATTATCTCTCTCAGGGGCAAGGTGAATTGTACAGAAGCGCTGTCAGAACTGTGGTAAGGGTGAAGGAGAAAAGTCATATAGGAACTTTTACACCCACACTGTGTCTTTAGTAAGGAACTCTTGAGTGAATTGGGAAAAGAAAGCTCCCAAATGGAGGAACATTGGCGAGGGAGCATGTGGGGATCATTCTGTGGCTTCCATATCCCTTAGAGTTGGTGAGAATGTTGGATTCATTATGCTAGTCCTATCCTGGATACTTCTGCAGTGTTAGGATGGAGAAAAGGCAGGTAGGACAGACATGGCTTCCTATTCTTTTTCATTAAAAACCATACAAAAATTAGAACTATGGCTGGGAGAGTGGGGCAGCCCAGTGGTGGCTTGTTTGAACATTACAGCACATACCTGGATGTAAATATGTATACGTGTGTGTGTGTGTGTGTGTGTGTGTGTGTGTGTGTGTGTGCGCACGTACACGTGTACTTGGGTACATAGAAATAGACATATCTATATTCTTGTGGAGGTAAGCTACAAGGAAGAAATTCAATGAGGAGGTACTCATCATATGGCTAGAAAAAGTAGGTCATAAAGCCTTGATTTGTTCTGTAAGATTCAAATCATTTACAGCTATATAGTGTCAGATTGATATCTCCTTATTTAGAATGTCCATCTTGTCACATACAGGAGAAAAAACTGGCCAGTGGGAGGTTCATTCCAAGGACTGCAGGCTCAAGGGATTGTGGCTGTTAAGTGGTCATTACTGATTAGAAGAGATCTATAACACAGGAGAAAAGTAAAACCTAATCGTAACAGATGGAGTTAAATTAGCACATTCAGGCGAAATTGTACAGATCAGTCTGACTTGGGATCAGAGGGGGACATAAGGTGATAAAACAGGTGCAACAGCTATCAGAGTAAGAGTAGCCTCAGTCAGAGTGAGAATCTGATGAGGTAGCAACAACTGCACTCTTGGCTGTCCCCGCAAAAGGCCCCCATGATAATGGAATTATAATGAGAAATACAGTGTAAAGCACCAAAGTAAATATTACTTAGGGCCCAAACTGCTATAGTCCATTTAATTTTACCTTGGAGGAAGGATAAGAAAGAGTCTGGAATTCTTGTGCTGCAGAAAAAATTGATGTAATGAAGGGGAAAATATGACTTGTGTGTTAGGGGGCTTCGCTTCAATGCCTCCCAGTTCCGTGCACCTGTTGCTTCTCTGCTAAAAAATGTGGTCAGATTCAGTGTGTAGTGCATTCCTGCTTTGTGACTTGGCAAGTAATACCAGAAATCAGAAACCCAGAAATGGGAAAAAAATATAGTTGATTGCAAAAATAGCCACAACCTTTCCATTCCACCTCTATCCATGCCTCTTAGCAATGGGAGTTTGCAGGAACTTCCATCCAAAAGTCTCACAACTCCTCAAATCTGGGCTGGTCATGTGACTGGCTTTGGCCAATAGAATGTGTCAGAAGTAGTAGTGTGCCTGTTCTGAATCTAGACCACAAGAGACCTTGCATACCTCATTGCCACAACCATGAGAACAAGCTTGGATTAGCATGCTAGAGAAAAAGAGACCACAAGGAACAGAAACAAACCATCCTAGTTAAGATCATCCCAGACAGGCCATTCCCCAGTATATGCCAGTGAGACTAGTTGAGATCAGACACCTGCCTAGCTGAGCCCATCCCAAATTGACAACCTGCAAAGTTATAAGCTAAATAGGTGGTGATTATTTCAATCCACTAGAGGTAGTTATGTAGCTAAAGCTAATTGATCCACTGTTACTTTCTTGGTTAAGTTGGACAGTGGAGAGTCATCTAGGTAGCTCATTGACTGAATTACACTGCCTACCCATATGACCGTTATTCATTAGTCTTGAAACTGTTGGATGAATGGTATTGTATGAGATGCACAAGGCTAGTTTGTGTATAAGAAGATGAGGCATCGCTCACCAAATCTTCCTGATGGGTATGTCTGCAGGCTTGATAGACCAATTTAGAGAGCCGGTATTCTGTACCAAGTTAGAGAGTCAATCAGTGAGGGCAATTTTGAATATCACATAGGAGAACTGAAAGTTAATAATAAATAATTTGTGGGAAGTGACACTGAATATTAGAACGAATGACTTAGGAAATGTTTTTCCAGGAAAAAAATTTAGGAATGATATAGTCATAATGACAAACTTGACCTGCTTTTTATGACTCATGCCTTGTGCCAGGCACTTCACTAGGGACTTGAAATACTTTACCTCATTGAACACTCACCACACTACAACCCTCAGAGGTGGGAGTTTTTCCATTTTATTGGTGAGTACCCTGAGGCTCCAGAGAGGTTAAGTAATCCACCTAAAGCTACAGAAGTTATAAGTAGCAGAAAGCAGATTCAAATTCCATTAGGAATGGATGGTTACAATGTGAAGGGTTAGGTAGAGGCCAGTTGGAGACAGAGGAATGAAAGAACTGGCCTTTGAGCATTCTTTTAGCTCTAACTTTTTGTTAAATGGTGGTAGATTTTTTCCCTGTAGTTTGCCTCAAGCAGCTGGCTCTGTGGAAGCCAACGCATGAGCTGACATTAAACCAGTGCTATGGCGGGGCTGCGATTTCTGCCTTCCAGTGTTCATTCTTCTTCCTTTTCTAGAACAGAACCCCTGAATTTTAGTCAGTTATATACCTATCTCGAAGGCACTGTACTTCTCAGTTTTCCTCACAGAGAGTTACTCATAGTGGCCCTATGAGTAACTTTTGGTCAAATGTAAGGTGAAGAGAAGGTAGCATTTTTATAACATTTCCTCCCTTTTTCGGATGGCAGTACAGACAAATTGAAATTTGAGCAGCATTTTAGGTCCTAAGGTAATTCTAAGTTTCCTTAGCTGAAAACCAACCTTTTCAATGGAGGTGTTGCTGTAACTGCTCTTTTGCTGGTTGAAATCCCGACTCAGTTGAATGGTCCAGGCTATGTCACTGATCTTCCATAAAGATTCTTTGAGCAGCTGTGTTAAGAAGTGGAATTTAGATATGAATGTGACTGTTTAAAGTGTTTTCTTGGTACTTTTTTGTTACATTAATTTTCAAAAAGTATAAATATGTATTAAATGGGATTATTCCTTTTCCCATTTAAAAAACTTTTGAACTTTTCATTTTAGTTTATTTTAAAAGCCACATTCTGTTAGCCTCTGAATTCCATTAAAAATAAGTTTCACAGGATGTGGAAGTAACTCCATGCAAGTACCTTTCTTTTTCTTCTTAAATAAAAATTGCTTAAAGACTTAACATAGAAAATAATCCATTCTGAAACTTAAATTGAAATTAATGCTTTTCAAGTTGTGAATAAATTTGGAAAAAATACGTTTGTCAATGTTAATTTGTTTTATACTAAAAGAAGGAATATTTTTGGAATAAAGAGTTAATTGTCTGGAAGAACCAATTAGATGTACAGGCACTTTTTGCTAACTAAATATTGCTATATAGTTTCACCAACTGTTCTGAGCCAAGGCCACAATCCGTCATCTGTACCCATGTCCTTCTTCATTGAACAATGCATAAAAAGGCGTTTTTATCTTTTCAGAGGACAAAATCCATTGCAATTTCTAAAATCTATTATTTCTCTTATGTTTTCTGTATTTTAAGCTTAGAAAAGGACACTTAATATCAAAGCCAATGAAAATATTTGTATGCATTTTCTTACTAAGAGCTCATTCGGTGAGTGGGTCCTTTAAAGAGAAGAAATTGTTCTTTAAACTTTAAAGAGGGAAACTGTTCTCAAAGCTTCTTTCTAGAGAAAGAAACTTCCCTCCTAGTAAAAAGTTATTTTAAAATGGTAGCAGGGGAAAATCAGGTAAGAATTTTGAGGGGGGGGGAGACAAAAAAAAACCATGCGTATAGGAGGACAGGGGGATCCTAGAATTAAAAAACAGGAGAGGAGAGCAGTCACTTTAAAATCTCACATTGGATAAGAATCACTCATAGGAGTCTTCAAAACATGTCAGTTCTCAGGTACCACTCCACCACTCCCAGAGATTATGATTCGATTCTGGAAAGCGTGGTGATGGGAGGTGGAGGTGCAGTGGAGAGGTCACTGAAAATGGACATTTTTAAGGGAGTCATAGGTAATTCCTATGCAGGTGGTTTATGAACTGAAACCCTCCTGGATTAAAAGCTCCTTTCCCATGGGTTCCTTGACCTGTAGGCTCTTGAAATCAAAATCCCCCATGTAAAGCCAATGTCCAACGCTTGTCTGCAAATTACCATTTTGGGGGTTTGGCATTGCCTGGGGGCACTGTTTAGTTGTGAAAGTCCAAAAAGTTTTTGAACGAGAGAAGGAGATTCTTTTCTGGCAAAGGGCTACAATGTGGCCCTTTGGCTTTTAGAAATCAGGGGAAAGACAGGGAGAAGCAGATAGAGCAGGGAAGGCGTTGTATTTAGGGCCACAGCAGTGGAAATTATGTTAATCTGTGTTTCTTCATAGGAATGGTAAAAGAAAAGGGAGAAAAGGCTGCTGAACACTAAGAAGATTTAAGAAAGACAGTGAACATATGACTTGTTTTGAAAATCATATGTTTCACATGTTTAATTTTACAGAACCTGCTTATACATTATAAAAATTCCTTATAGTTAAAAACCTAGATTTCTTATTTTATTAATTTAAAAGAATAAAAGAAAGGAAAAATCCTAAAAAAAAGAAAGACAGTGAAAAGTATTAGTAACCAAAATCTTCAAAACTGTCTTAAACGTAAATGGGAGACTAAAGATTGTTGCTCACATTAGTGATTTAAAGAGCATAATTCTTCATGATAATCACTTCTTTAGCATAGGGAATATAATCAGTAATGTGGTAATAACTCTGTATAGTACCAGGTGAGTATTGTTGAATAACTATATACTCCTGAAACTAATATAATATTGTACGTTAGCTATATTTTAACAAAAATCTTTAAAAAATAAAGAGCATAATTAATTCTTAAGTGATCACTCCTAATATTCCAGTCCTTTTGCTAAGAAAAGGAAATGTTGTTTACTGCCATTTGGAATCCAGTTCTTTTTAGTTAAGATGGGTAACTTTAGCTGATTTCAACACCCCATCATCAACAATTAATCTGGAAGATACCCTTACCCGAAGCAGCATGGTTTCCCATAGCATGATACTAGTGCTCTTTCCTAGAAAAAGAAATGAATGCAATAACTGCCAAAATAAATCAAGACTCAATTTCTCCCTAGCCAGGTCCCTGGTGGATGCCGGAGTTCCATTTCAAGTTTTGTCCTTATACTAGATGATTATTTCAGATGAAATTTACCATGTTGCCAACTTTAAGTGCTAGTCTGGTGGACAGAGGATCTTCAATCCATGATAAAATCTAGGCTTCTTGCTAATTTTAATAGTAACTACAGAAATGATCACATTTCAGTACTCTAACATGGCCGAGTATGACTTTTTAAAACAATACCAAAAGAGAGTTCCTCTAAATACAAGAAAAAGACCAGGGCAAAAAACGTATACAAAAAGTAAAACATCCTGCTGAGGATGTTACCCATCACGTCCTCTCGTAGTACAAGTATTTGGTAGAGAAACAGAACTTAAGGAATCAAGAAAATAAAGTATAGCTGTCTACCTTGCATACCAAGTTCATTATTTTTATTGCCTATAATGAACAACAATGGCTTTAAACAGAGCAATGGTGCCTCATTTCTTTGTGTCCTTGACTCCTTGGATAAAGACCTGACCCCGCTCCCTTGTACCTTCTAGTGGCTGCAGGAGTTCAGGTAAGCGTGTTTTCCATAGGTTTACCAATTTGGGGTGAATTATCTCAGGCAATATCTTCAAAAGTCCTATGGCACCAACCCCACATAATTTCCCTAAACTGGCGAGCATAGCTATTACCTGAAGGATAGAAGAGAAAACGCTATGATTAGGGGTATTTAAAAGGCCACTTACATTTTCCTTTTTCCCTATTGTCCTGGATTCCAACAATTTCTACATTAGGTAATCTTTTAGCAAACCATCACAGTCTATTCTTACTTATTCTAGAGCAAAAATAAAGGTACCAACACTTAGACGTATTTATTAATGAAATAAGGACATGTGGAAATAATGCTTGAGTAAATGACACATATGGAGCAAAAAGGAGAGACAGAAATCTAAACATAGATGTGGAAGTTGTTTGAATGGTATTTATGGATCAAATTTCATCCATGATAATTTTAAAATCTTGAAGTTTAACAAGCATTTTATTTATTTATTTATTTAATTTTATTAAGTCTAGTAGTTGTTTCAATTCAGTTGTAGAGGGTACAACTCAGTGGCCCATGTGGGGATCAAACCGACAACCTTGGTGCTATGAGCACTGCGCTCTAACCAACTGAGCTAACTGGCCGCCCCATTAATAAGCATTTTAGAATGAGAAAATAATCTTGGCAATTATACATTTTCATGAGTGTCCTTAGTACTGCAGACATTTATTATTCCTTCAGTGTTTCTTTTGGTTTGGAGTATCTATGTCATTTTTATTAGCATTTATTTGGAACCGAATTATCTATATTGGTTTAAATTTATCCCACATTGGTTCTTTGTAACTCACTCACCAGAAGTCTGGCCAGTAGCTGTTGTGGTGAAGGAAGTTTCACTAGAAAGAGAAAGCAATTTTCGTTACTGCTGTGGGGGGCTAGCAAAATTCAGGTTGGGGTTGGGTATATGATCAAAGCACTGTAGTCTTTCTGGAAATGAGTCTCTCATGAGAAAAATGTTTTGCTTTGTTTTTGAATGTACAAACCAGCTCCTGTAGAGATGACAAGTGCTGTTGACTCTGTGGCATTCTTCTTCTTCCTCTCTTCTGCCATAATTAGGATTCTGATGATATTAAACAGGTATTCCAGAGTTCCCGTATATTCTGCAGGTACCACAAAAGTCAAGATTCTTGGCCACAGCACCTGTGGAAAACACAGGGCAAGGTGCAAGGACTGCTTATTCCTTTTCCATTATTTCTCCTCGATACTCACTGTGTGCTTACCTCTGATATAGAACATTTTTTTTCTCACCTGTTATTATGCTCTGCAGGCCAAATCCAAAAGGAATCATAGAATAAAGCCTCTGCACAGCACATTCATTTTCAGGTGCTTGTTGCAGTAAGTGTTGGTCAGTGTTTCTCCATGGGGTTGTTGCTGGGATTTGGGGCAGGACAATTCTTCATCATGAGGAAGTGTTCTAGGCACTGTAAGCAGTCTTGCATCCCTGGGTTCCACTCAGTAAGTGTCCCCATCTAGATAAAGCTTCTGATCCACTTAAATTGTTTTTTTGTTTAATTAAATTGGTCCTTGATTGTCTCCTGGCTGTGCCATGTATTTCTGGCTACTAAATCCTTTCTCAGGTAGTTTTGCTTAAGGATAATACAGATTCCAAGGCTCATCCCTTTGAGGGTCAGATTCTATTTGGCCTCGGGTGAGGCCTGAGAATGTGTGCTTTTTAACACCTTCCCAGGTGAATGGGGAAAGTTTGGCATTCAACAATATATCTAGGTATGTTCGGAGAAGAAGAGAAATAATGTACTAAGATACTTATAAACTGTCATCTGCTATCCAGATATAAGAGATTATTTCATTAATTGACACCTATTTTTGAGAAGCTGCTATATGCTGGGCATTGAGCATCACAATAACTTTTCTCTAGTCAGATCATCAATAGTTGATAGTTGAGACGTAAAGTACAAACTCATGTTTTACTCCTAGGTGAGCAGAGCTTCAGAAAGGGGATCAAAATAACTGTAAGTGGTGACAGAAAACTCCTTACCTGAGGCATTCCAATGACCAGTGGGTCCAGAGTTTTTAAGACCTCAAGGCTTGTTGCTCGGACAGATTTCTCTCCCTTTTCATCCTCGTGGGAGCTAGGCTTCACTGGTTTTTCCTTTAAGAAAGATGAAACTGGTAACCTGCTAATAATAACCCTTCCTGTTGGTCCCCTCTGGCTGTACTTGTGTTCTCAAACCCTAAGGTGAAGCATGTGGTCAATTTAAGGGGCTCGTGGAACCCAGTGACTTTGGTCTTCAATACCTAATCCTTGTTTTAAAATGCTCCCTCTTGTGCTCGCTTCGCCAGCACATACACTAAAATGCTCCCTTGGAGGAATGGGTTAGAAAAAAACACCCCTGGCTGAAGCAGAAAAGCAAAAATTCTGAGGATCCTTGAACTGTAGGTATCCCTCTCTCCCTCAGGCCTTTGCCATTTTCTCTGGGGCAAAAATTTCAAAGACATTGCTTCCTGGTGGAGTGGATTGTAACTTCAGTTGCGATAAACTTGATCCCTGATGCTTTTCAGGCTATTCATCCAGTGGGAGCCAGCTCCAGGGGTTCAGGGCTTCGTGTCCCTATTTTCTCTAAACTATATACTTTTCCCTCCCCGTTCCAAATCACCCCCCAGCCTTGGAGGCCAGGTTGCCTCCTCCTTAGGGAAAACTATGATTTAATTTACCTTGTGTGTATTATAATTTAGAAGTGATATCAGTGAAAAGGAACTGAGGGCACCAGAGGTTCAAAAATTTATCAGTAGAAGTAGTAAGACTGAAATATAACTTTTAAATCCATTATTAAATCAAACCCCAGCTATCTCTTTTAAAACCCAGTTGAGTCAACTGCTCTTGTTATAGCGCAGCACTCAAAATCACATCCTTTTCATACCAGATTCTTGTTGGACATTGCAAACTGGGAGAAAACATAAGCAATCAGTGGCCATCCTTCCCTGGCTTCAATGTAGCATTTTTCACACATGGTTTGGATGAGGAGGAGGGTGGAATTCCTTACCTAGAGTAAGAAAAGTATATTTGCAACATTTTACTATGTTGGGTAGAATGGAAGCTTAGCTCCTCATATTTTTTTAACCTTCATGGATCATTATTGAAAACCTTTTCAAAAAAAGAGTATAAATTGAATGATGTTACTGTAATAGATGGAGCAGGAAATAATCCATAGGTTATGATTAAAAGGTCCTTGGAAAGTCTCCCTTTAACCAAAACCTTTCTCTCTAGCTCCCAGGACATATCTCCTTCTACTCTATGCTATGAAATGTTGGTAACTTTGGGCTAAAACACTGCTTCACTTTTAAAATCTTCAGTGAAAGATAGCAAAGTTCCATAATCCCTATCCGCAAATTCAAAATCCAAGCAACTCTGAAAACTAGGATTTTGTTTCTTAAATTTGGTGCCAACTCATTGGTGGCAAAACTCAAACTGAGCTGTTTGTACTCTTTACTTAGTCTATGTAGTGTGGATATCCATTCATTTTCTTGAAAATATATTAATAGATCTGATTGTTGGCTACTACTGTCACAGTTATGTTTTTCTAAAATCTGAAGCATTGTGAATTCTGAAATATTTATCTGGCCCTAGGGATTGGAGTAAAGGGTTATGAACCTGTGTTACAAGTTTTTTAATAATTTGGCTTCAATTACTTGATTGGATTGCTTCCTTGGGGGATAGAAAGCTCAGATTTAATTCCTTAGTGAGTGGGTCTTTTAATGGAGGGTAGGAGGAAAAGAATAACTTGGAACAGGGTGGCAGAGCTACGTGGTGGCAATTGGCAAATAGCATAAAGTCACCGTAGTCTCGCTGAGTGAAACAGAAGAGGTACACACTCTCCCTCTTTTTGCCTGAGGAGCTGGCCTTCCTTAGAGTTTCTGTGTTCTTTTAGTCTACACTAAAATCAGCTAGCAATTCTTCAACTGGCTTGGCCGGTTACTGCATCAGGTTTTTCTGTGTAATCGCTTCATTGTTACTTATTGCGTAGCTTTCATTATTTTAAACATAGTCACTGGCAATGAAAGCTTCCCACAAGAATTTCTCTTTTTCATTGGCTTCTGTGTAGGGCTTTGAGCCAAACAAAATATCGTTTTTGTACAAAAAATACCATTGCTAATTAAAAAAATTTGTTCCAGCATCAGTTCTATATCTATTATGTGCAAGACTTGCTCTAGGTGCTCCCTTGTTGTCTGTGCTCAGAACAAAGTGCAGGGGTTATTCTTTTTTGGAGAAAGATATATTACCTTTATAATTAATAATTAATTTTTAAATCTTATATTTGAAGAGCATGGCATAGTGATGCTCTAGGCAAAAATCTTTTTTTTCTACTGAGAAGCCTTTGAACTGAATGTACTTTAAAACTTTACCTTGATTTGGTTTATCTTTTGGGGAAAGATGGAGGTATTTTAAAAACAGAATTGATCACGGAGTTCTTCATTAAGCAAGCTCAGAAGTAGATCCGTAAACAGCCCAAACTATTTTGTTTACTCCTAAAACTACCATCAACCAAATAAATGTCCCCATTAATTCTCTTACTTTTACATTGAGGTCATCCATGACGACTTTGACTATTTTTTCAACTGAAGTGATGTGATCCCTCAAGTTGGGCTCTGAAAGAAAGACAGAGGGAGGAATTGGGAGGCATGATTCAGTAGGAATACAGTATGTTCTAGGATTGATGAAAACCCGTTAGAGTTAGAATACATAACTGCAAAGTCTCTTGTCCTTAACATTTTGTCATTCAATTCCCTCCTACCCTATTCTTTTTCAACTCTTTAAAGATGTTGGTTGCGTTTTTTGCTCCCTATTATATTGGTTTCATCTTGTTTAAAATGTTAAGGTCCAAAGTGGATTCAATACATCATGCCCAATACATCAGATTTAAATTTCTGCTTCATATTTCTTATTTGATTCTTCAGTAAATCCCAGTGCTAACTGAATTTTAAAAATTATTAAAATTTAATATTCAAATATGTTTAATTTATATATTTAAATATTTAAATAAATTCAAATATTTATTTAAATATTTAAAATAAAATATTTTTAATATTTTAAAATTAAAAAATTATATATGGTACAAAAATTATCATATTTTATTAATCTATCATCAATTTTATGAGGCTCTATTCTTTTATATGTTATCAGAAAAGAAAAGCTATAGTGGTTGATTATAATTAAAAATGCTATTAATTATAGGATGCATTTCAATATCATGAAAATATGTGCTTCCTGGAATTAATGAAATAGTTCATTAAATTCTGCTCTTTTCTAAATATACCAGTCTCTAGATTGGCATTTCTTTCACTCACCCCCTGTTTACTGGGCCTCTTAACCAGCTTACTAGATCTTCTAAGTTCTAAATTCAATTCTCAAATATTCTACTTGTCATTATCAACTCAGTGCATCCGTAAGTATCATGAAAGAAGAGAAGTAACCAAAAATGCCTGTTTAAAAGTAGTAGACTGTCGGCAATCAAGAAGGTAGAGCTTCACTTGAGTATGATGTTCTGTAAAGATCCCAAAGACATAGGATAGGGTTTGAGCATGCGTAAGCTTTGGTTTTCTTCTTGGTGCAAAGCAAGCCCTCTGGCTTTATCATTATTGCTTACCTTCAGCATTGATAGCTGATCTTAACAAAGTCAAGATTCCCCTTCGAACGACTTCATTATTACTTCTTGTTTGTTCATCAAAAAATTCCAGCAGGTCTGCAGGGTTGGAATGAGCTGCAGGTTTAAGAAATACTGGGGTCATAAGAAATCTTTCCCACCTTAAGTAAAATACTTTTGGTTTAGAAAAGGGGAATTCCATGAAGATTCTCAGTCACTTTTTAGGTTGGTAATGAGCTTTTTACTACATCCTCACTTCTTTAGTATCATGAAACTAATTAAGCAGTTTGGTCACCTAAGAGAGCTTTTTGTACTTAGGCCCACTTCTGTTCGTACCTGTGAATTTGACTTTATTTGGAAATTAGTTTCTTTGCAGATACAATCAAATTAAGATTGACAGAAGTCATTCATTAGTGTGGGTCCTAATTCAATATGGCTGCTATCTTTATAAGAAAAGGCGAAGAGAGATGGTGTAAGGTCTAATCACCACACTGTATTTCTGAAGCTGATGTTGAATAACATTTTGTCAACTATAATTATATATACATATAGTTACAGGACGTGGAGTAGAGTGTGGGACTGGAGTCAATGGAATTGTAATAAATAAGTATGATATTGGGGGTGGGAGAGCAGTAGATGGGGGAAGGGGGGTTGTCACTTTGTGAGGGGTGAAAAGGATAACTATTGCATTGTTCTGTACACCTGAAACTAATAGTAAAAAAAATAAAAAAATAGAAATAAAAGAAAAGGAGAGGAGACACAGAGACACAAGGAGAACACCTTGTGAACACAGAGACAGGGATTGGAGTGATGCTTCACCAGCTGTGGAGATAAAGAGAAACATGGGTAGAGTAGGAAGCAGGGAAAGGTGAGAAAGGCCCGGCTAGAGTAAAGCAGTTTGGGTTGAAAGTTATCAGAGATAAAGTAAAGCAGTTAAATAGGCTGGGGCATAGAGCAGAGGAAAGTATAGAAACAGAGGTATCAGGAGAAAACTGTGCAATGAAGTGTTAGAAAGGACATATTTTAGGGAGGGTGGCGGTGTGGGAGGTATAGAACTGCTCTTGTCTTTCATCCTTAGGGACTATGTTGGAACATAGTTTTGTCTCCTGACCCTGAGACCCCAGTGCTTCCTCCACAACCTGTGATAAGTATTCTAACCAGGGAATGGATGAGATTATGATGTGAGAGCAAGAAGAAAAGGGAGAGAGAGAAAGAGGGAGAGAGTGAGGCAAGAAATAGATACTAAAGATGATCAGGGAGAAACAAGCATGACTTTGGGCTTAGCACAGTTTGGAATAATCTGAAATACCAAGAAAAAAGCATTTCCTATTCTGAGGGTTACCAAATTCAGCTTGGTTTGCCTGGAAATAAACCCATGCATATATGGTCAATTAATTTTTGACAAAGGAACCAAGAATATTCAATGGGGAAAGGATAGTTTCTTCAGTAAATGGTCCTGGGAAAACTGGATATCCACATTAAAAAAAAAAAGAAACTGGATCCCTACCTTATATCATACACAACAATAAAATGAAAATGGATTAAAGACTTGAACAGGAGACCTGAAACCAAAAACCCCTAGAAGGAAACATAGGGAGCAAGCTCCTTGATGTTGGTCTTGGCAATGATATATATATTTTTTGATTTGACATCAAAAGCAGAGGCAACAAAAGCAAAAAATAAACAAATGGGACTACATCAAGCTAACAAGTTTCATCTCAGCATAGGAAACCATCAACAAAATGAAAAGGCAACATATGGAATGGAAAAAATAACTGCCAATGATATATCCAATAAGGGGTTAATATCCAAAATATACCTGGAACTTTTCTGGTTTTAGAACTGAAAGGTTTATCTCCTTGGAAGTCCTTTAGTCCTGGAATGATTGGTCACCCTGTATATTTTGCTCCTCTTAACAGATAGGAACAGATAGGAACAGATGGACAGGCACAGAATACTGTGAGTAGAAACATTTTGTGTGTGTATGTGTGAAAGTATCTACGGTGAGAGTTCGCATACCCTTCATCCTTGTCATCATCACTAGAGGAAATTTTTGCTACATATTCTCCTCAGGCTTGTTCCTACCTAGAATGAGGAAACAGCTTGAAGCTTCAATTTCATTTTCCTTTACTGGGGGCTCTTGAAATCTGCACACCTGAATGAGAAGGAAAAACCAGGTAGTAACTGTTAAAAACAGAAAACTGGTGAAAATGAAACAATTGGATTGGACAGCATGGTTTTCTTACCTGGTGGAGTAAATTGATGAAGATGGCTTTTTTCAAGCCCTTTGGAAGGCCAGTGTCATAAAGGACTGCTGCAGTCAATATTTGTTTTAGACTCTAGAATGGAAGCTCTCACAGGTTAGTTGGAGGTTGCCCATGAAGCATAATTATATTTTGTGAGAACAAACCCATAAACTTCCTGCAGTTACATTGTTTTTTGTTTTTTTTTTTAGTGATTCTGGCTCCTCTGTCTTGTTCAGTGTCTCAGCAGCTTGAAAATAAAATTCATAACCCCTTTTTGGAATTTCTATCATCCTGCCATGCCAACCTCTTGCCTACCTCATATTCCCCTAGAGGTACTTAAGTGCACCTGCCCAAAGAGGTGTTTAAGTTTTAAGCCCTCTTGGGACTTAATATCCTCCAGGATGGTTGGCAGTTGACTCTCTGAATCAGTTCCTTTAGGGTGTGGCTCTTACCTGAGTGACGTGGAAGTCAGTCTCTTTGCCTTTATACTGGTTCAGGAGCCAGGGTACCTGGCCCAGGGCGTATTCACTGAGGTCTTCCCGATGGAGCAGCAGACTCACTACGGGGCCATGGGCCTTAATGATGGACAAAGTCTGAAGAGGCAGCAAACAGATACCATTTCTATTACTTCATTATGCTTTTTGTACACTTCCTAGAGCACCAGGAACTTTAAACATCCCCTTCCCCCCAAAACACTTGACTCACTGCTTTCAACCAACTAAGATTTCTTTAAAATACTAAAAAATTTTTAGGTTGAGATCATTGCCTGAGGCAGAGATATTTACATTTGTATTTATATTTATATCTATATTGATACTCATTTCAATATTTGCCCCTTTTTTCTTTCTTTGATCCCTCACTAATAGTCACTTTTGTTCATTATATTAACAAACTTAAAATTTCTTTTATATTAAAAAATTCTTTGACTCCATATCACTTTGACCCCACTATTATCCTCACCCAATTCTGTTTCTCTTTTCTTTCAGAGCAAAGCTTTTTGAAGGAGTGGTTTACATTTGTTGTTTCCACTTCCCTTGATCCACTATAATCTGGCTTCCAGTGACATAAACAATGAAGAGGTATAAAATATAAATGTAATGTATATTGATTATAAAAATTTAGAAATCCCCGGCCGGCTGAGTGGTGCATTGGTTAAGAGTTGGCTTGGGACACCAGCTCTGAGCAGCAGGGCCCCGGTTTGGATCCCACATTAGGGCCAGTGACGCTGCGCCCTCTA